AGACTCTGACACGTTTGTAGTCAGAATTCCCCATCTTCTTCCACCATCCGCATATAAAGTCCACTTGTGAAGCTCATGTCGCATCAACCAATGATAAGCTCTCTCGTCTTCCTGCCTGATAGATTCCATGTGCCTCTAGAATTTATGCTCTTGGTGGTCTGTTGCTGCCATCCACATCAAATCATGCAGATCCTTGTTGGGATGTGCCTTATAAAAATTGGCCTTAAAATGCCTCACACAGTAACGGTGGTAGGCATAAGGTTTTTGCCATGCAGGCAAGTTCTCTACATAACTTAAGATACCACCATGCCGATCAGATATTAGACAAATGCCGGAACGTTGTTTGACAGCGTGCTCTTTCAAATGGTTCAAAAATAGCGTCCAAGTCTCTTGGCTTTTATTGGCACAAATAGCAAAAGTTAGAGGAAATATTTGTCCATTAGCATCTACTGCAACGGCTATCAACAGCTTGATATCATACTTTCCATAGACATGAGTGCCGTCTATGGATATTACCGTCCGGCAATGCGAAAAACCATCAATTACTAGTTTAAATGCCCAGAACACGTAATTGAATATATATTCTGGTTTTTTCGGACTACGCTCAAGCTTCCATTCAACAACCGTCCCAGAGTTAAAGTGTTGCAGTGCGGCCATGTACTTGGGTAGAGCTGCAAATGACTTATCCCAGTTACTATAAACAATTTCAAACGCACATTTACGCCCGAGAAATGCCTTTCTTTTGGTAATGGTATGACCATATTCCTGGTGGACTGATGTAATGCACTCTTTGATTTTATACCTTATGGACGCTTCAAGGTGTGGAATAAGGACAAGAGAAATCAAGTCAATATCCAAGTTGTAGTGATTCCCATTGAATGTGTCCATTTCACATTTGTGGGTGGGAATATATTTACCCACTTTCCATATACCTATGTTCTTCTTGCTCGCACGCAGCATCCAATGACAACCCATAAACCATCTGCGACAAATAACCTTGTATATATCCGGACTTGACTCCCATACCGTCATCTCACGACACTCTTTTACGCTGTATATTTTCGCCGCCCTGCTTAGGTGCACTTTATAAGGAAAAAGCATGCCCTTTGCCAGCACCGTTGGTCTAGAATCATCCTATATTGCTGTCCGAATTTCATCAAAATCCCTTGTGAGAGCATCCACATCCGGCATACTTGGCAAGTTATCAAGGTAGAGAATCTTCCTTGAATGAAACGGCACTTGGGACTCGTACACTCTTGGTCTAACGGGGGGTGGAGCATACTCCCTCGTCAAATCAGGTCCTTCATTCTCTTCCTCCTTGTCACCATCCTTACAAGGGAAGAGTGTGTCGTCTCCGGAATCATCGGCATTATTGTCATAATCATTGTTCTCTTCCTCACTCTGTGCATCTATCAGATCCCCGATTTACTATGTCGTCTTCGGGCAATTGAGTGAGGACAGGTGGTTCAACTTGCTCGTTTTCACTACACAAACAACAAAATAATAAGCTACTGAAATTAATAAATACTTTCCATATAACTGTATCACTTCACTTACAAGTCGTAACGTGTTGACATTCCTTGATGGGCATTATCCTGTTGGTGATAACTCCCGGATGGACCACCATGATCCAACACACCAGATATACGTATATTCCAACTGGGCGTGGGTTCATAACTTGTAAAAGTCATATCTGATTGGTACCCCCTGTGGAATATATGAGTGTTAATACAATTTCAATACAACAAAAATATACATCGTAACACTAAGAAAAATTAAAGTTTACCACTCGTCTTGTAGATTATGTAAAGCAGGGGAGAAATTATTTACTCGTTCCTCATTCGCCCGTGGTGATAAGTTTAAATCAGGGCAAACTCTTTCATCCGGAACTTGTCCGGCAAAAACTGCTCCAGAATAACTACCCGATGACTGAGGGTTATCCCTACTATGAGCAACCTCACTATTACGAACGTCTTCGACCTTGACGTACATTTCTAACATTTTTATCACAAGAAATTTCCGGTATTTATCAGGAGTCCTCAAAAAATCCATCAAAGTTTCATCATCGTCGATGTTAAACTCAGCGTAACAAGCAACCCCTTGCGAAGTGACGGAATACAGATATCTTCCGGTCACTTTAAGGTTCACCGAACGTTTCCTCACACTCATTTTATTACATAACAACGATACCAATCTATCGTACTCCATTGTAAGTGACAACTTAACATGACACTGTGGAGATAAACTATAGCTCATAGAGTTATTAGCCACCACAACCTCACCCCCCCCCTCTCACCCCCAATATAATGAAACCCTTACTTTTCGCTCTTCACACATTATGAAAAAATGCTTGAGAATTTAACAAGAAGAAAAATTTGAACGAGAGTTAAGAATATTTTTGAATGGATTTTTGTAAAATCCTAACGCCTTTAAATAAGCCAATGCCTAGCTTGGTGGGTTGATTTTTTTATAGGTATAACACTCTTTTAAAGAGTGCTATACCCATTTGAATTATTGTTATGTCAGTTAAACGCATGAGACTTATTGGTGGGCCCACAAAACAGGTATAGCGCGGTTATATACCGCGCTATGTATATAGCGCGGTTTAAAAGAGCGTTATATATATAGCGCTCTTTTAAAGAGCGCTATACTTTAACGGCCAAAACTCCGTTAAAAGTATAGCGCTCTTTAAAATAGCACAATATATAAAAATGTCACTCTTTTTTTTAAACATACATTTTCGTCACACTTGTCCAAAAGAACCACAAATGGGTTCTGGACTCTAATTAATATGACCACCTTTCATTTTCTTTTTTTTTTCTTTTTCCTTTTTCTCTGTTGACTTGAAAAATCTTAGGACACAAAAGAATAGTATTTGAGGATTATTTAAGTACAAGTAAGTTTTAAATCAGTGTAAAAAAGAGCGATAACATTTTGACCTACAAGTAAGCAATTTGAAATGGAATACGTCTTGAAACTAAGAGCCCGTCTAGCCGTGAAAAGTTTTCCACTTTTTTCGAAATCAGTGTTCGGCAATAAAAAATTTTCTTGAAGATGAATTTTGAAATTTTTCGAAAATTTAAAAAAAGTTATTTTTCAAAATTTTCACTCAGATCACTCACAAAAATTCAAAGACAACCCAAAATTATATTCATGCCCAAACACAACTCTAATTTTCAAATGTCATTTTCACCTGAATTGTTTTACTTTTTTCGGAATTTTATAATTCTTATGTCCAAACGCCCGCTAAGATAGGTTTATGAACAATTGTGAGCTAAAATTGTGGCATAGAAAATTTCAAAAAAATAAAAAAATTGTTTGCCCCTAATAAAATTAGTATAGTACACATCATGTGGCCAATGTCATTTGTTTAGTCTAGGGGCGGCCCAACCCTAAAGCAAGTGAAATACTTGCTTTAGGCCCCCAAATATTTAAGGGCCCCAAAATTACTAGTATTTCTCTATATATAGTTGTATATTATTTATATAATTATCTTTTATTATTGATAAATTTATTTTTTTATTGTCATATTAATTTTTAATAACTCGATTTTTTCCTCTAATTAATATAACTAAAATAGTTTTCTGTCAATCTTATTTTACTTTTTTACTTAATTATATTTCTCTATTCATTAGTTGGTCACGTAACTATATCTAATAATCTAACTTAATATTTATTTTCCTTACATAAATTATACTCTCTCCGTCCTAATTTATATGAAAGTGTTTGCCTGTACATAAATTTTATGAAATAAAGGAAGCCTTTTGAAACTTGTAATCTTAAATAAATCATAGAAGTTTTTGGGCTAGAAATCATCTCATTAATGGTAAAAAGAAAAATCTAAAGTTGAATTGTTACCAAATATAGAAAGGGACTTACTAAAAAAAAGGAGTCCCTTATGTTTTCTGGGTTCTCCCATTTCAGTTGTGATGCAACCAACGTTAAATTCATTTAATTTTCTGTATTTTATAAAACTAAGTTCTCATTTTTTTTAATTCCACATCCTCATTTGTCTAATTTTTTAAAAACGATGTTCATTAAATTATATATATATATATATATATATATTAAGGCCTCTTATTAAGATTTTATTTTAGGTCTCCGATGAGGTTGAGCCGCCCTGGTTTAGTCACGTCACTAATATAATGACAGTTGAAGATTGAGTCAATTCTTAGACTTAACGGTCAAAACCGTCGCCTCATATCTTTGAATTTCATTAATCACTTCAAACCAAATACAAAATTTAAGCAAAAATTATATAATATTAATATAGAATGGAAAGATAACACCTCAAGATTTATGAAAATAAAGTCAAATTAATAGATTTTCCTGAAGTACATTTGAGTGGGTGACTTAAAACTTTTTAAAAAGAGAAAAAAGAAGAGTAGTTGATTTTTTCTTGACATTAAACCATCAATTAAAATGCAACATCAACCATTTGTGGAAGGAAAATAACCATTTGTTTTGTTTTGTCTTGTTTTACTATGTTGTTTATTATGAATTGCGGTAGTCTCTTTTCAAGTGTATTATCTAGTTAAGTACATTGTAATATCTAGTTAAGTACACTTAAACCTAATTTAATTGTAATGTGCACTTTTGATCCTTATTACTTGTGAATCTTCCTAAATTTAACGAATTATTAATTGTTAATCTGTTCAACTAGTCATATGTTACGTTAAATTTGTATTGTTATTATACACTTGAGGGTAATAAAATTCTAAAAAATTATAAAAATATGATATTTCATATGTAAAGGGATAAAAACTCACATTTTAATTAATTCAAATTTAAATACATTCAAATAAAGTATTACAATGACCAACGTCAAGATTGACCAATAACTGAGAAATCAAAAGTGCAATTATATTGATCAAACCACCTAAATATTAGCAAGTGCACCTACATAGAACGTTGTTATTATTTGGTCATTTCTAGATTATATAACAGTACTCTTTAATATATTTATGACATCTATATTTAAGAGTACTGTTATATAACTTTAGAAATTATCAAATAATAACAATGGAATTGTTATGTTGTTGGTGGGATTTTTCACCTCAATTGGGAAAGGCAAGAAATTTACCAAGTGAGCTAGTTTTCAATCGGACTACAGTATGAATACACATTACATCCAGGTAATTAAACTACCAAAAAAATTGTACAATCATATGATTGTAATTTTCACCACATTAATTGGTGAAAATTCTGACTCTAAAGTAAATGATTGGATGAGAAAATTCTGAAAACTAGTTCAATAATTCAAGGCGCCGCCAGTCAGAATTTTATGGGTCCTACCAACAGATGACAAGACAAGTTCCTCTATGCCAAGTCATCAACAACCCTTTTCACTGCTTCCTCGAAACTAGACTCGTCCCATTCTCTACCCTGGACCAAATCACAACAAAATGAGAGAAAATTGGTTAACAAAGTTGGTAGGAAAACTTGGAAAAATAAAAGTTGGTAGGAAAACCAAATCCAAACAAGAGTTTTAAGATATATGAGCAAAGCCGGAGCCGAGATCTAAAATTTATGATTTTAAAATTTGTTATGGAATTTATAGTTTGTTTTAATTATATTAGTTATATGTCTAGCTAATATATAAAAAAATTATATTATTTTTACAACAACAATAATAATATACTTAGTGTAATTTAACGAATGAGGTATACGAAGAATAAAGTGCACGCAAATTTTGAGGTAGAGTGACTTTCCAAGAGGCAAGGACTGACTTTGTAGGCTAAAAAGAGAACTAAAAAAGTTGGAAAAAGCTATTCCTATAATGAAAGTGATATTTCCCACCTATAATTTCTATTTTGGAGGGCGGAACAGACTAACATTTCATAGAAGCCGGAAAGAAGTACCATCTTAAATTTTTTTTATTTGATAAGTAATTGATATCCACTAATTATAAGCTCACTAAAAGTATGATTAGACAGCAATTTATCCATTACATAAAAGGAGAAATTAGCGTTACGTGAAAATTGTATTTTGTTATTTCAGTAATCAAAGAAGCAATTTTACTTGTAAACTGTAACTCAATTTTCTAAAGAGTTTGCTTTTCTTATAAGGAATTCGTGATGATTGTATATTTTTAGTATAACACTCTTAATAATTTTTAGTTAGTAGAATTAAGCGGCAAAAAAAAAAAACCATTTTGCTTACAAAGACAAGAAATATCTTATTCTTTATATTTACACACAAAATGCTAGGAATACTTGCTTTCGTTATATGATGTCTAATTATATTATATGATTCCTAAATAAAAAGTGAACCGAAAATTATCGAAAAGCAGTTCTCATTTATATTTCTTTACAATTCCTCGAAGGGCTGAGAAATTCATGCAAAAAGAAATAATAATCCATTCTATATGAAGTTAATTAACTTCGGAACTTCAAAATATTTCCATATATATTGTTTAACTTCTTAAAGGAAAACAATGGTCCAGTATAACAATCTACAAAAATAAGATAGAGCTTGATCTTTATACACCAAAAAAATTAAAATATTTACGATATTATTTAAAGTAAAATATAAGTAACTTTCCATAGTAAAACATTAATTGGTAACTTGAAAAAATTATAAGATCGATATATATCAACTATAACTAATTAAGTTACAATATTTTTTTTTTGCACAACATGTTTGGTTCAAATTAGGATCGGATTAGGTAGGTTATCTCCGTATAAATTTTGGAATTAAATTTATCCCGTGTTTTACTTACCTAAAGTCAGTATTAATTTTATACCAAAATCTTGGTATAACGTATCCTATATAAAAGATGGAATAAATATTACGTATAATCCAAGGATTATAATCTTGGGATATCCCAATTTTGAGCCAAATAAACCTTGGTGTATATGATAAATGCAATTAGTTAAAGTTAAGGCTAGTTTCAGAAAATAAAGTGCATACCTCAATTCTAAGTCGCAAGGTTATATGAGTTACTGGTTCTGATTGAACCACTGATCTGGTGTTTGCTGCTACTGACTCTAAGTTTACATTGTTGTCACTTTTCAAGAATTCCAGCAAACGAGTAACCAAATCCAAGATGCTGCATTCTCTCCTTACTGAAATTTGCAAGTCCACTATTCTTGATTCTGATGTTGATTCACCTACATTTCTTATTTCAACATCTAGCCTTTCATTTCCACCAGTAGAGGAGCAAATAATTGCCTCTCCTGCAGCTTGATTAATTGGTTCAAAGGAGGATTTGTTCTGACGTTGTAGTAATTGTGCTTCCAACATTTTATTCTTTTTACTCAGTTCTTCCACTTGAGTTTTTAATGAACTTAAGTATTCTGTTGTACTAGCAAGTACTGATGCTTTGTCCTTCTGCACAAGAAATCGAACAAGAATTTAATCATTTCATTATAGCATGATATATTTTGAGATGCATTAAAACTTCATAAACATTGAGATATGTATTATGATCGAAATAATGAGGTGTCATGCGTAAGCTAGTAAAACAAACTTTCAACGATGATAAATCAGACAACAAAAGAGAAATATACCAAAAGTGACACAAACATTTAATGCGATTCAGTCAGTTGACCTATATCCACATGCGGAAATGAGCAAAACACTATATAAAATAGAGTACAACATATGGAGAAAACAACCTCACAAAAAAACACATACAAGTGACAACATAACACTTCAGCATAACACTTGTCTATATAACAAAATTAAGCAAATAAAAGTGCGCTCTCTCTATCGTAACAAATTTAAAATTTAAATGAAGTAGTTTAACAATTAAACCTGCACGTAATATAATGAGCTTACATGTTGAAAAAGTAATTTAAGTACGGAGTAAAAATGTACTCTTTTTAATAGTTTACATCATAATTGAAACCATACCTTAGTACCAGGTGGGAGTAAAGATCGAAGTAGTTGAAAGCTATCGTTAAGCTTTTCACGTCTTCGTCTCTCTGAAATCATGTGATGAACCTGAGTACTTGTGGGGGCACGCGGGTTAGGCTGCATTTGTTCTTGCCTTGATCTCATCATATTTAAATTTCTGAAGAAATTGATAGATCTTCTAAACATGTTTTGTCGGCGAGTTGTGGCTGTTGCTATTGGCACATTGGGACCTAAAGCTGATCTAAACCTTCTAAATGCAGTGGCTTTTTGTGTTGCTATTTGGTTATAATCTGTGGGTAAGTTTTCTCGGGATTGGCGAGAGGAGGAAGAAGAAGAAGGTGATGTCATGACAGCAAGATACGCTCTTGTTAATGCAGCGTCTGCGGTTTCTAGTGTCGGTAATTGTATGCCTTGTATTTGATTTAATGTCTGAATGGCTTGTTGATATGGCATGGCGGTAGCAGATACCGGTGGAATTGGTCTAATAGTCTGATCGGAAAAGGTATCCGTTCGTGGCGGTTCTGGTACATACGGCGGCGTGCTTGCTACATTGAAGAGAAGGGATGAGTATTCGCCTGGGCTATCGATTGAGAATGATGAAGATGATGATGCCCGATTTTGATCAATTGGCAGTAACTGATTAGTAATTCCTCTTGTTGCTGCCGGTGCTGGTCTTGAGAAATATTCGGCAAACAAGTTCGTCATTCCCATTTCCAAGTTTACCTTTATATATAAAAGTAACTAGTATTAAAAATGCATAACCAATGTTAAGAAGAAACTAATAAAGAAGTTAGGAACTTAGAAATTTGCAAATCATGAATAAAAGTGAGGTCATACAAATTTTATAAAGAAATGGTCTTACTTGAGGGCTACAAGTCATTCCAACCTCAATTTCTCCAATGCTACACCCCATACATATTACTGTCTGAAGTTAAAAACAAAATCAGAAGATAAAATTAAGTTTCAATATCAACCACATTATTTTATACTTTTACCATATTGGATCACGTGATCATGAAATAAATAAACACAAACCTTGATTCCAGCTTCCTGCAACAATCATATTAAAAGGTTAGCTTGGATATTGTTTTTATATAAAATATTAATTAAGAATAATATATAAATTAATCTGTTATCAAAAGTACCTGGTAGAATTGAAGCTGCACTGGATTGGATGCATGTGATTGAAAATCTGCAAACTGCAGTTCCATGTAAGGAACATTATTCTTGAAAGCCAGTCCTGGGATGCGGCTGAAGTTGAATAAATTATATACAACTTAATTTGGAACAATTCTCATAAACTAATAATTAAACTCTAATTTTAATTAGTTACCTACCTATTATCCATAATAAGCCATGAATGCCTGTACTCTTGGAATAGCCTCTGAGCAACATCATTGTCTCCATTGTAGATTCCACCCAAGGACATAAAACAGCTACAAAATGATGAAAATGTGGCAGGTTAGAATAATGTTTTGGACATGTATATATGTTCATTTTCATAGTAGCTAGACTAATGAGAGGAATGAAGAACAAGTAGTAATCTTACTTAGATGGTTGGAAATATTGCCAGAGGCATATGTAAGTGCAACCTAAGGACTCCATTATCTTTAAGAGAAAGACGGCACGGTCTCCTTCTTCAAGGAAGAAGATGGAGTCCATGCAGCTAGCTCCAAGGTTAAAAATTCTAAGTATGTTTACTACATGAGAGTTTGCTGCAGCATTGTCCCTAATATAGTATGGTGGTCATATTTGTCAAGGTGCTGTGTATGGAAAACTTGAACATATTTATGTGCTTTAAGAAGGAAGGAAAAGTTATAGAATAATGGTGTATGAATCATAGAGCTCAAGAGCTTAAAAATGTTTCATTTGAATCTTGAAAGCTAACACTTTTTGGCTAGCTACAATTCATGTTAGGTGGTAGTTTGAAAAGTATATTGGAAGAAATATCCTATAAAAAGAAAATGAAAAGGACCCCACCAAACAAAAAAGTTAAATGGGACAACTTATACAAGTCTCTGAGAAGGTTAAAGGGGATATTGAAGAAAAGTGGTAAAGGTATATAAGAACTTGAAATTTTCAAGGGAAGAGAAAAATAGGATTTGGAAAAGTAGAGGAGAGAAAAGAAGTAGCCAGCCAAGAGAGGGTTGAAAAGTAATGGTCAAAGTCTACTAAGGCAAAGATTTGAATTGAGTCAAGGGAGGATGGCAGTGTGTCTCTTTCTAGTTTTCTTTGTCATCTTTTTGGATAATTGCACAAAATTACCCTCTAATCTCCCTAATCAGACAATCCCTCCTTTTAAAAGGCACTAAGCTCCCGCTATGCACGGTGTCTGAAAAATAATCGGACCACAAGGGTCTACCGTACGTAGTCTTACCCTACATTTCTACAATAGGTTGTTTCCAGTACAGCTCGAATGCATGACCTCCTGATCGCATGACAATAATTTTACCAGTTACGCCAAAACTCCCCTTTAATTACACAATCTCTCTTTAGTTCTTTAAAATTTCGGAAAGACTTCACTTTTATTTTTTTGAATAGTCCAATATCACTAACTTAATTAAATTTGAAGAGATCTATCCTTCCCGCCACATCTTCGACGGAAAGACCTTACCTATTGGAACACATTACAATCAACTTAGCTATTGTTTTGTCCCAGTAATTGAAATGAGTGTTGCAGCTATTTATCAATTTACTATCCATAATTTTAACAGATTTTCCCCCCTTTCATATCTCTTAAAATCATTTTACTTAATTATCGTCGCCAAGCATTTAATAATTTCACTAAGAATTTCAATAAAACTAACATGATATGATAACACAAACACTTATTCTTTCCTTCAAAATAAAATAAAAGTTATGTTGTGTGTGGCAAAAATATAGCTTAAGGCAACAAATAGAACTTTTTTATAATGTATAGTCTTAGATAAAATTGTCAAATGAAAAAAAAAATCAAATTTTAAATTTTGGGCTTTTGGGGGTGGAATTAAAAAATAACCAGATTTACAAGTGGTAATTGAAAAATAGCCACAGTTTCAAAAGTAATCGAATTTTAGCCATTTTTCATGTAAAGATAAATCTGAACGAAAACATTGTTCAAAATCCGGAAAATATTCCGGTATAATATACTGGAGTTCGAATTTTTTACATATGAACTTCCAGCATAATATACTGGACTTCCAGCATAATATACTGGAAGTTCATACACAGGTGCTCTAATCTCCAGTATATTATGCTGGAACTTTCCGTGTGCCGGAGTTCCAGCATAATATCCTGGAAGTTAATGCACAGGTGCAATAATCTCTAGTGTATTATGTTGGAACTTTCCGTACAAACGCTGGCTATTTTTCAATTATCACTCCGAAAATTGGCTAGCCCGTGCTATTTTCACGCTTTTGGGGCATGAGATTGGTGGCTGGACTTTCATTTTAAAGGGCGCTTTAACCATTTTCTTTCACTTAAACACTTGCTTAATCATTTTTAAAAAGGAACAAAAATATATATAGAAAAAATTAAATATTGTTGAAAAAGATAGACAGCCCTTTTTAAGTGAATAAGTCCAAGTAAATCTTTTTGTATAATTCTTCTTAAATACCTAGGTATTTCATTTGGCTAGAACTAATTAATACCACAAAATTGAAAATACGGGAGACTTATTTCTATTTACAAAACAAATAGAGGTATATATAAGTAGTAAAATGGTAAGGAAGATTGTGTAACACACTTTAATTGCTGATTTGTGTTGAGGTGGTCTTGTAGTTTCTTAAGTTAAATACTTTTATTACTTTATTAAAAAAATCCAAGTGTTTAAACTCGACTAGAATATATAAGTGAAGTGTGAACCAATGGATTCTAATATAATTAATCCCAGAAGTTTCTCTAGCTTTCTACTTGTCCATGATAAAGACAAAATTTTAGTTCATATATTATAAGTTATTGCATGAGGAAAAAAAGTATCTAACTTAAGTTGGTCTTCAAAATGTTAATTTATACATAAGAATTCTATAACTACTAGATGCTTTACTCTGTCTTGTGTACGGGAGCAATTGTTTCTCTCTTTCTCTTTTATTTTGTTTGTTTTAAAAATAAGAAGAAAAAAATCAGAAAAAACACTTGGAGATACAATGTAGAGTACTGTTTATTTATTTATTTTTTTAAAATCATGTTTATTTTAATTTTTCGGAGATCTCGTTTTTATTTAGTCACTTTGTAAGATTTGTCAACATTCGAGTTACTTTAAACAATATTATAAACTTAAGACTTGTGTAATAGTATTTTTTTTAAAATAAACTTTTGTTATGTTACGAATACGACGACGACATTAATTGGTAGGGGTTAACCGGATCCACTTGTCATGTGTGAACGGCAACCCAATTGTGATGATCCAAAAATGTCATATTTAATTTAAACGTTCATTTATGTGTTCTATGAAGATGTTGAGAGCTTACCTGCTATGAGTTATGTATCACCTGAAGAGTTGATGTTAATGGCGTTCCTTTTCTAGTAATATATTGCTTATGATGCCACTGTCTGTATTATTTTCATGTTATGTTACGTTGATTGGATTATGTATGTATTGTTAGGATTAGTTTCTGGGATTCTCTGGCAGGTGGATAGGCCCAAGAAGGAAACTCTAGCGAAATTTTTGAAAATTTTGGGAGTTAGTAAAAATTCGAAAAATTGAAATGGGTGAATTAAAGAAGAGATAAGATATGTTATTTGTTTGGGGGCGGACTCTACTTCTCATTTGAGTACTATTAATATTATGGATACCAATTGGATATGATAACAAGTGTACAGGGCATATTATAAGTGATGTGGGGTCTAAGGAGAGGCCTAAGTCTAAGTCAAGTTGGAAAATTTCATAATAGACTAAAGTTTCAAATGGGTACGCACAACACTAAATTTTGAATGAGCATATCTACCTATATATATGGAATTATGAGATTATCTACCTATAAAATAAAAGATCTTCGAGTCTAGTTTCTAACTCTTCAAACCGTTCGTCATTTGGACACTCCTACAAGAAGTTATGACCAAATTACCAAAGGCTGGCGGAGTGCGAGTCAACTGCCAAATCTGCGATCGCAGAAGTGGTTATGTGACCGCAAACCTGGTCGCGGACCTGTTCAGTGAAGCCCATTTCTGGGCACCGATTCTGGGGTGCATTGTGCGACCCGCATACCTATTCTGCGGTCCATTATGCGATCACATACCTGATTTCGGAGAGTTAATTTTCTTATTTTCATAACCCGGCCCTATTTTGATAAATAACCCTTGGGGCTTATTTTGGGGTATTTTTCTGAGGGTTTTAGAGAGAGGTTAGAGAATTTTAGAGAGAGAAGGAGGAAACCTAACATTCTAATCATTCAATCTTGCACCAATCTTCAAGAACCAAGGAAGCTAATCACAAGATCTTCATCTAAAAGGTAAGGTTCTTCAATTTCGAGTTTGGGTAAAGATGGATAATTGTGAGTGTGATTCTTAGATGTGAGCATATTAATTATACATGCTTGTACCAATAAGGTTGTGTGAAGATTGTTGAGTTCAAATGGGTAAAGATTGGATTGAAAATAGTAGAAATCTTCAAAGATTTTAATTGAGGAGTTGAATAGCAATCTAATGTCGGAATTCGATAATTTTTATATGGTTGAACTCATATCGGAACGGCTGTTCGGATTTTATGAGTTTTTTCGGGATTCGAGACGTGGGTCCCACTATTAAATTTTAAAATAATTTTCTAATTTTAATCTGAAAAATTTATAATTTCATATGGAATTAGTTCCTACAATTCGTGTTGAGTATGTTGAATTGTTTGTGATTAGATTTGAAGCTTTCGGACACGAATTCGCGAGGCAAAGGTGTATTGGAATCTTGAAATTTATTTTCAAAGCGAGGTAAGTGTCGTGGTTAACCTTGACTTGAGGGAATAGAACCCTTAAATTATTTGTTATGTGAAATGCATGTGAACGACGTATAGGCGAGGTGACGAGTGTCTATACGTCGTCAAATTAATTGTCTGCATAATTACTTGAAAAAAATCATAGTTTAAATCATGAATTAATTATTATATTAATTGTTTCTCTCGCGTTCTTTGCTTAATATCATGCCTTGAATCCATGCTATAATTGCTACATGCTTATTTGAATTATGTGACTTAATTGCCACTTGACGTTTAGCATACTAATTATTAAAATTCTTATTACATCCTTAATTTCTATAATTAATTGTT